GGAAATAAAGTATTTGTTGGGGATGCCATGCAGGTGGGTCATCGTGATAAAAACACAATTTAAACCGCAAATTATTGAATAAGGAATGTCATTATCATCAAAAGAATACACGTGTTGCAATTTAAGTAAGAACATGCTGTGAAATACCCGCAAGAAAATCATGGCTCTTTGGACAGTGTAACTAAAATAAAGACAGCGTGATTGACTTGAAGAACAATTGTATGAACCATCCGCGTGTTACTTCAGAGTTAAAATACTGAGAAAAAAATGCAGTGGCATGGTTACAGGAGCCAAGCCTGTCGTAAACATAATTACCTTTTGACATTGTAAATTCAGAAGTATAGGAAAAATTTGGATATCATGGTCAAATGAGTAAGTACAACATACATCAACAATGTGCTTTAGAAATACCAGTGGTAGAAGGAATGTTATTCCAATATTTTAATTAAACAAAGAGGGCATGATTAACGAATGACATTACTCAATAATAGTATGAATCATCAGCTGGTTACATAAAATAAACACACGCGATATAATGCTATGATAAGAGAAGCCAGGCCGATTATGGTTACAAATCTCGGTTAATGTTGCTATTATGTGTACATAAAACATTTAGGGGTGGTCGAAAGGATACAAACAGGAATTTAAAATGTGATTTTGAATAACAGGAGTAAAGGTATAGCTGCTCTTTTAATAACTTAGCTGGAAAGCATGATTGATCGATAACGCTATACTCAATTGAATAAACACTGAGCTGGTTACAATAAAATTTAAACCAACAAAAATACCAAATCAAATGAAATGTTATTGTTAGATAAAACTGATATTAATATACAATAAAGTACACATTGCTTTTATGTACTGAAAGGAAAAGAAGGACGAACCAGAAGAAGATGCAAATAAGGACCCACTCAATTAAGAGCTCATTTGCCAATAACCTACTAATTTAGATAAGTGGGTATGTTGAAAACAATGGGGTTGAGGAACAATATAGCGTTCAGTAATATAAAAGTTCCTTAAAAATCCCCTTAAAATTTCCATTTCAAAACTATATCGAAGATCCCAACAAGAGAAATTATGGTATAAATGTCATTAATGAGACACAATAACATAACATACTAAGGTGGTGTACTATGATTACATTCTTTTTCCTCCTTCCTTCTTTCCTTTCTCTTTTTCTTAAGAGTATAATAACAATAATGCAAAAAATAGATGTAACATCCGAGAGTCGAAATGATCCTCCTACACCAGAGAGATCGCTATATAGCGGTGAAAAACATATTTGGTTCAAAATTATGTACAAGAACCATAACCTTAAATATTTTTCGAACGGATAATTCAAGGATTCAATCAATAAAGCAAGCCAATGATTTGGGGCTATTTTTTAACTCAAGTGAACATTCAGAACAATGATTCATTCTGAGATTGATTGATCATTGACCAATCGGAACGAAAAAAAAGGAGAACATATAGCCTACTAGCCCGTAAACCTGTAAAATGTCAATCAGGAACATGAACTTAAGAATACTATTTTTCCAATTCCAAACACTTAGCTTACAATCAGTCGACTAAAACTGTCAACTCAGGGACCGAAAAATGTATTTAACTCCCATTATTTACTCATAACAGAACTTTGTTCATTATTATTCGAACACTGTCCGATCAAGAACAAAAAAAAAAAAAAAAAAAAAAAACAACAACAACCTCCAGATAAAATTAAAATTACGATAAATTGGCCAAACCGAACAAATTGATATTTTTGACCATTATCATGAGCTTGCAATCTTTTTCCATTTCAAAACTATATCGAAGATCCCAACAAGAGAAATTATGGTATAAATGCCATTAATGAGACACAATAACATAACATACTAAGGTGGTGTACTATGATTACATTCTTTTTCCTCCTTCCTTCTTTCCTTTCTCTTTTTCTTAAGAGTATAATAATAATGCAAAAATAGATGTAACATCCGAAAGTCGAAATGATCCTCCTACACCAGAGAGATCGCTATATAGCGGTGAAAAATAAATTCGGTTCAAAATTATGTACAAGAACCATAACCTTAAATATTTTTCAAACGGATAATTCAAGGATTCAATCAATAAAGCAAGCCAATGCTTTGGGGCTATTTTTTAACTCAAGTGAACATTCAGAACAATGTTTCATTCTGAGATTGATTGATCATTGACCAATCGGAACGAAAAAGAAAAGAAAACATATAGCCTACTAGCCCGTAAACCTGTAAAAGGTCAATCAGGAACATGATCTTAAGAATACTATTTTTCCAATTCCAAACACTTAGCTTACAATCAGTCGACTAAAACTGTCAACTCAGGGACCGAAAAATGTATTTAACTCCCATTATTTACTCATAACAGAACTTTGTTCATTATTATTCGAACACTGTCCGATCAAGAACAAAAAAAAAAAAAAAAAAAAAAAAAAAACCTCCAGATAAAATTAAAAATTACGATAAATTGGCCAAACCGAACAAATTGATATTTTTGATCATTATCATGAGCTTGCAATCTTTTTCGAGCCTGCATGTTATTAGATTTTGATCTAAATTTGGGGGTACGCCTATATTTGGGGCTAACTTGTTCAATTCCAAAGACTTATCCTAAAAACAGCCCCCATTATTTTGTGGAGTTAAGGGTCCAAAAGTGTACATAATTATACATGAAATTAGACACAGTTTAACATGATAGAATAAAGCGAGGTATTACATAATATCTTTCCATTATTTAAATGTCCTTCTATCAAAAATATGCGAAGTCTGTAACAAGTAACTTGCATGCATGTCTTAATCAGTAGAATGTGTATGCAAAGGAAATATCCAAAGGCCTACATACTAAGGATGGATTTTGAATTCTATAGTAAGTCCGCCAAGGCATGACATCCATTCATCGTTGGCAACATTAATTAGTTTTAGTATGAATAGTATGCGTAAATGAATGGTATCACATGCAAATAGAGGAGTCACGATGAAGAAATAAATGATTGGAAGAGTAAAGGACGGTCGCTACATTTGTTCTCCAGGCCATCTTTTTCCGCAAAGCTTCCGTTATTTCCTTATACTAGTATTTCTCTCTTTCTCTTCCTCTTTCTCTTTCAACAATTAAATGACTCTTCCAGTGTCAATCAACAATACCGTGTACATACAACACAAATAATGTATATGTAAATATAGGCTAGTATAACAGCATATATATATATACTTTTTATAGCTATTTTTTAATAAAAAGAAAAGAAACAAAAGAGGAAAATACAAGATACGAACTTTGAGACATGTGTTTTTAAAGGTACTTAACAAAACTGTGTACAAAAACAGTAGAAAGACCATGTATGTATCAAAACAGTCGCGCCATGTTACCCATAAGAATTGACTTTCGTTCTGTGATCGAAAACATAAAGTAAGTGCAGTTTCCGTCGAGATGCGGTCATCAAACCCCCCCCCCCCCCAAAAAAAAAAAAAAAAAAAAAAAAAAAAACAACAACAACAACAACAACAAACAAACAAAACACGCTAAAAACAAAAAACAAAACCGAATAATTTTTTTAAAAAGAAAGATATGAAGAAAATTGTCCCCGAGCTAGGTCGCCTATGCACACAAGGAATGTCTACGATGTTATATTCTTGCAAACATATCAACTGGTATGTCGTTTTATTAACAATGGGGAAACATTGAATTGATGTTTGCTCAGGTTTCATCCCTTGGTTTGCCATGAATGTCTACTAGCGTGAACAAAGAAAGATTTAAAAAAATTCCTCATCATTTCTACAACTCATCATATACTGTATATGATAAACATAATCCTATCTTACCCCATTTACTTACTACCGTTTTAAAATGCAGATTAAGATATTTCAAATTCCGTGTCACAAATCGATAGTCTGTATATAGATTTGATTGAAATGAATCTCTCTTGTATCCTTTTCTCCGCTCAGGTCGGATTTAATTGGAGCGGTAATTAAAACGGAAAATACAAGTACCAAATACAGATAAAATATGCAAAGTAAAATTACCAACTAACTTTCACAAAGATATCATGATATTCTTCATGTACTTATAATGCGTAATCAAGCAACACAACTTCCGACTGATAAGCGAAGCCTAATTTTTGTTAAAAAAACATTGTTCTTCCGAACAATATAGTTAACTAATTTGTCATATTACAGTTTAAAAAAAAATTCATATCATAAGTTCCCAGAGCATTCAATTTACTGAATTGTCAGACAGAGTGCAAAGTGAATACGAAGGAATTTGTAATGGAATGTAGCAATATTTTCACCATGGTCCTGTAAGGCTTCTTATTAGAATTTGATATGATGTATTAGTCAAGTTCAATGTAGCATACATACGTAGAGTACAATAATATCACAAAATAAAAACAAAATGATAATAATAACTTGACAGGATAACCATGAAAACTGAAAAGCTTATTTACAATGGGTCATATTTACAAAGTCAGTATTAATTATTTCTTCATATCTTCTTCTTTCAAAGATAAAAAATAATCACAGTAACAATCACAAAATATCAGTGCAAACAAAATAAACGTTAAAATACATGAGAATAACGACATAAGAGATATAATACTCATAAGAAGTTATCAATATTTTTATCAATTTTCAAGTTATACATACACATGTTTATTACCATATCACTTGCATCTATGTATTGCGTCTCAAGAGGTAGGAACCTCTCAATTTCAAATTTATTAGAATGCCTGCATTTGTTGTTATTCTTTGATTTTGCAGTACCGATCTTTTGTTAAAAAAATATATGCATAATTTACCTATTTGTTACATACTATTTCGATAGAGGGAATGTTCATGTTATTGGATAATGACAACTGTATTCAGGTAATTAAAGTCTATGGAGAGAATGAACATCTTCCCATTCGGTTAGAAAATGAAACATAGGCACCTGTTATAGATCTGGAGCAGAAAGGTATACACACTACACATAATGGTAATATAGAGTGTGAGGTTGGTTTACAGTGATACTTTTATAAAATGCAACTTCTTGTGACTAGCAAACGCAAGGATGTCTGGAGAGAGGGAAACCAAGTAGCACCATTCAAAACCAATCGTCATGGTAAGTGCATTGAACTCAACTATTTCCTTCAGGTTCAGACCATCAAGGTCATAGAGCCTGATCACAATGTGACTATTCTTACTATCAACACTCGCTACATACACCCTGTCCTGCTCATCGAGGGCAGCATACAGGTAGACATCGTCTTGAGCTTGTAGAGACTTACCAGCATTACCATCCCTGTCATAGACCGTCACCACGCTTGGATTAGTGTTACATGAACTCGTGACGACCAAACCCGACCTGGTAGCAGATACCTGCTTCGTCTCGTTGTGTATTGTTGGAACAGTGTGCTTGAGAGTTGTTCCAGTCTGGTCATAGATATAGACTTTCTTCTCACTGTTAGCGATGAGGATTTCATCTAATGGACTTCCGTTTAGTTTGAGCAAATAGCCACTGCTTTTCACGTGGATGGTTGATTTCTTGCATCCATTGGGAGAATAAACGTGTGCTTCTTCGAAACCTGTCGATATAAATAACGACCTGTCTTGTTGAAACACAAGATCATAACACGTCACGCTTCTTTGTATGTTTGCATACTGCCCCTGTTTACCAGCTGAATCAATTATATCTATACCATTGGGATTCCAATGTCCGATAGCTACACTGTCATCAGAGTATCGGGTCATTCCCAACACCACTCCCCGTAGATCTACACACCGAATGATTTGCAACTTGGGATTTGTTTCTGAGATGCTCCCAAGATCAAGACGAGTATCATCTGCAGGCTTGAACCTCCTCTCCTGTGCTTTCTCCGTGATGGCTGCCGCAGAAGTGTTATCAGTAGCCTCCTCCAGCATGGCATCCAGCTCCTCACAGAGCAAGGTATGAGCAGACAGATTGTCTGTCTCAAGGCGACCCAGCCTGTCATTAGCTACCAGTATTATTGAACTACAAATACTCTCGATCGTCTGTCGATCCTTGGATTTCAAGACGTTTAGGTCGTCCTCGAAACTCCGCTTTATTGCATTGATTTTCTCGATGAGATATCGATGATTTTCGTCAAGTTCTTTAGCCTTGATGATGTAGGCTTGACTGACATCGTCCAGTAGTTTCTGCACGACAGTGTATACTTTATGGCGTTGTACTTCCACATTCCGAATGTTCTTCTCCAGTTCTGACTTCTTAGCGGCACATCGCCGGACAAGGTCGTTCACCTAAACAAACAAATAATGGGGAAGAGAATAGAACTTTTTGTAGAATGAGATGTATGCCAATTACATGGAACTGGTTCGAAAATCAAACACCACATTTTGGGCGCGCCTGATGTTTCACAAACGTTAGAACTAAGACACCCCCCCCCCCCACTCCCTATATCATCATATGTCAAAATGAAGACCGAAGAATGTAATACATTGTTTGTTCGGCTTTCTTAAAAGTTCATGTGTATGAAAGCAGTTATATTAGATCAACATAATGGATATTGGCCAAATAGTGATAATATAATGATAATAATTATAATAATGACGATATTAATGACAATAATAATGATAACAAAGATAGTAATAATAATTCTAATAAAACTAAGGTAAAATAATAATGATAAGAATAATAATAATATACTACTACATCTATTACAAATTTTGATGATGATGATAATGTTCATTTTTATTTACATTATTACTATTATTATTATTATTATTCTTTCGTGCCCATCATCTGATCTCAAATGTACTGCCAGGCTTTTGCACACTGAAGAGCCTTCTTATTTGCTGCCACTAGGTCTTCCAGGCAGCATTGGTCATCTAGGAGTGGGAATCTTAATAAATTTCACGGATGTTCCACACTCGCAGTCGATGTCTGTGTCATCAGTGTATCCCCATTTATGCATGTTGTATTTACATCGCCCCCACCCTTGTGCGAAGCCTCTTCCAGTCACATATATGGCCAGGTGGCAGCTGTTCCTTGGTAGGGATTGATAGAGCTTTTCATGGTAGTGGTTTTCACAATGTTATTATTATTATTATCATCCTCATAGACAAAAAACATTGATACATGTACTACCAATTAATATTGAAACAATCTGCTATAGGCCCTTTTGCACAAATAAAATAGAATGGAGTATGATTTTCCTGTATTTTGTTTTCCGTTGCGATAATGGCGTAGCTACGAAGTTATCTGGATAATCTGAGCACGTACGTGCCTCTTTCACCTCTTTAATGATAGTCTACAAAATATGGGAAAAGTAACGGAGAGACAGAGAGAAACAGAATAAAGGGGAGAAAAGAAAGTAACTAAGATGATACCAAGTACCCCTTCGTACCTTCGAGGCACGCCGGAAAAGTTTCAACTTTATAGGGGGGGGGGGAGGGGCATCTCGAAAGGATTTTCAAACAAATTTAGCTACGTTTAATACCGTCATTATACATTCCCCTCCTCCGCAACAAACACCGTTTCTCCAGTCATACCAACGTTTCTTGATATTTCCCAAAAATAGTGAATTTAAGTTTTTTTTTAAATACATTGTAATATTGGAATGTAGCTCTCCTAAGCATATGTGTTAAAGCATAGAAGCAGATTTAAGATATTCAAAGTTATTATTTCCATAACAACATAAGATACCTCATATAAAAGAGTTTCTATATAAATACTGAGGATCATATAACTCGATTAAGAGTTTACTATTATCAAGCAGTGAGTGTAGAGACCCAGCGAAAAAAAATGCTTCTGTGAAATTGAAAAATGTAATCAAGTACAATTTAAAAAAAACATCGAAAAATCCATGCCTACTTCAAAATAGTGATTTGCATATAGGTGAGCATGTGCGAGCAACAGAAAGAGCTTGTTGTCTTCTCAAGGGAGGCGGCAAAATTGTTGGTTCATCCCCTTTATTAGAGAGAAGCTTTGAACTTCGCACCATATCCATTTCAAGCGCAAGTGTAGTGGACAGGGATTGTCGAGGATAAGAAGCATCCCAACTATTAAAAAGCGAGGAAGTCTAGTTATATCAATTACAATTGTGCTATTATCTTGTGAGCCAGGCGGGGCCTTTGCCGTCTCCTTACCGATCTATTTTCCGGCCAGATAAGAAAGGGTACATTTAGCGTTGCGACCAGGAAAGAATTTTAAAAATATGGAATGGTGACCATTTTTTTAAAGAATCTCTGTTGCTTTGCAAATTTATTGATGTCAAAGTTTTTGTCTGACAAGGGAGGCGGAAAAAATGAATCCTCCTTTGTTTGTAAAGATATTTGACCTTGTGAGGGAGAGGGGGTAGAAACGATTTGGCTCCACCCCAAAATATCTATTGTCAAGGGGGGAATCTCATGTTGCCCTAACCTTTGATTGAAAGTAGTATCTGATCCCAAGCTTGTGGTGTGCCTATATTGTAGAAGGGGTTTGTAGCATAATAAACACCGGGTTTATTAATATTAGAGGGAGCGTAATGGAACTCATTAGTTTACCTTTCAGAGCACTTGTCATCTTATTATGATAAAAGGAATTACACATATATTTCCTTCTTCCCCTTGCGAGGCCCCCTCCCCCTCCGACTTGAAATATTGCATCAGCCCCCTCTGCCCCCAACCCCTCCCCGCTTCCGGTGCCTACAGTGCCTTAAATGAGACCACGTTTACCTTAAGCCGTAACTCCTGCTCGAAGTCAGTCTGATTCTTGATGTTGTGATTTTGATGACCGACGATCACGCACTTGAAACAGACGTGGACCTGACAATCCTCACAAAACATATCTTTGTTCTCTTGTTTGTGGATGCAGCACTTCTCGGAAGGATGACCAATGCTGACCTTCCCGTTGATGATATCCTGTATGGATACAATGTCGTGACCTTCAAAAACGACTGTAAGATGTTGATGACAATCCAGACACTTATCACACATGTAGTTATCACACGTTTTGCAGAATGAGACAGCATCTTGCTGAAACTTGCAAGCAGTGCATTTCGGACGCATCTCAAGGACAGCATCTACCCCTCCGCCCCTGACGTGGTGGTAATCGTCTACTAGTCCGTTGACAGTCACATTGGTGAGGAAATCATCGACACGGTTCGCAGACAACTTGGTGGCCTCTCTGCAGAGAGGACAGATTATGTGATCGAGATCCTGGTCGGACTGATCATAGTTCTCGAGACATTTTCGACAGAAGGTGTGTCCACATGAAGTCAGGATGGTTGCCTTGTCGAAGATACCAAGACATAGCGGACACGTCAGGTTCTCTAAAGAGCTTGAAGCTTTCTCTTCTTCAGTCTTCTCAGCCATTGGTACAACTATCGGATTTGTGGCTTATCATACAAATGAGCTCATTCTACGCATAATGTATCCGATGTCCAATAAAGCTTACAAATTGTGATTAGCTAATGTGTACTTTTAATGAAAGTTAATGAAAGCACAAACTAAGTGCAATGATGTTAGTAGATTGTACCAATATCCTGGATCTATGTAACAAGTGCGTCCTAACTGCATGTAGTTCTATACCAATTTCTCACGTTGATTAACAGTATGTGTCGAAAAAGGTGCGAATAACGTTGATCAAAAGTACTGAATCTATATTCAAGTGTATACATCAACACAAATGTAATTACAATGAAACTAGTAAAAGAACTACTTATCCAGGCGATCGTAGCACATGTTAATATAGATGGTCGACTATATATTTAATGGAGCGTCCCCAACACGACTGGAGCCTGTAAAGATCTTAACACCTTTCGTTCATATAAATTTAGAAAGCATCGTACGTTATGAGAAAAATGTATATATTCTGTGTCTGTGATTTCAACCTTGAACGTGTTGCTATCAACACAATGCTTTTTGCCGAGCTATATCCACAAGCAGTGGCGTAGCTACGGGGCGGGACCCGGGGGGGGGGGACACTGGATGTACACGTATGTGCCCCATAATCGAATGGCCCCCAAAAAGGGTAAGAGCGAGGGGAAAGATGAAGGAAAATCATTTTTCAAATACCGCGAGATGATTAATATAAGGAGATACTTTTTGCTCGAAAAATGTTCTTCGAATACTATACTATTATGTGAACGCAATTTTTTACAACAGATTATGATACAGAAAGAAAGAAAAAAAAATCACGATTTAATGATAGTGACGTAAGCAGCAAGCTCCAACATGTGCTGTCTAGCAGAAAACATATACCGCCCCTAAGTACACGTTATAGAGGACATTGTCCATGTTTTTATTTAATGTGAACTGAACAAGTATGTCCTTGATTATGTCGAAAAGTTTGTGATGTTTGTTTTTAATATTGATACTTGCATGGATTCTTTTGTTTGCCTATGATTACCAACGACAGAGAGGTAGACGTTGTAATAGCTATCGCACTCCGGTGTATGTACAAAATGTTGGTATTCTGGAATAAGTACATGTATGATTTTAATGATAAGCGTTTCAAAGTAAGGTACGTATTTGAAAGAGAAAAAAAAATACACAGACTACTCGTAAATCAGGAGCTAAAATCCTGACAAGAGGTTCCCATAGAAATGGTTAAAAACACCTTAAATGGTAAGTAGTGAAATATTGTACAGGCGAGAAAAGATGTGTCTTGTATTGATAACATATAGTACTTCAATTATATTTGTTTCTCATAACTTTATTTTGATGCTTAAATGGAAATTAGACATCTCAACTGAGGCACACACACAAGCATTCTCTTTCCAAGTGTGTACTTGAATACCAACGTGGTTACAATGGTAAAATCACACTTGAGCAGATCGTCTGTCAATGTCATGCAGTTTGTGCATCCTATGAATAGCAGTGGGTTTTCCCACAGAGCGTATTTATAAAGCAAGCACATTTGAACTCATTGGCGGTATTCATTTCTTTTTGTATCTATCGAGAGCGACTTATTTAGGCCTTCAGTGGTGAATATATTATGTTGGAGATCTATTTTAGTAAAATCCTGGATAATAGAGCAAGACGTTTCGTGTGCTTTCATTACTATAATTGGATGATGTTTTTCACCCCTCTTTCTCCACTATTCTCCGTTGTTCCCCTCTATTTCTTCAATTCTCTTCCTTTTTCTCTGTCAACAAATTAAAGGACTCTTTCAGTGTCAATCAACAATACTGTGTGCAAACAACAAAATAATGTACATGTTATCATAGGAGCTAGGTTTACAGCGTATATATTTATTTCATTATTATAATCTAATATTTAAAAAGAAACAAAAGAGGAAAATACAACATGCGAACTTTGAGACACGTGTTATAGTATTTTACAAAACTCTGTACAGAGACCATGCGTGACTATCGAAATAGTCGCGCCATTTTACCCATAAGAATTGACTTTCTGACTGCATTTTCCATCGAGATGCGGTGATGAGAACCTCCCCGTAAACAAGAAAAACCACAAAACCAAGCTAGGTCGCTTATGCACACAAGCAGTTGTTTCGATGTAATCTTATTTCAAACTTTTCAACTGGTATGTCATTTTTTAACGATGGGGAAACATCGAATTAATGTTTTCTCCAGATTCATCTCTGCGTTTGCCATGCATGTATCTTAGCACGACCAGAGGTAGATTTAATATCCTCATCATTTCTTCAATTTATCATACACTGTTGGTCTTCTGTACGGCCATGCATTATGGTTCAAGGCATGGCCACACAAAAGTTATTCCTGTTAGGGACGGGGGGGGGGGGGGAATACAATGAATTATTGATAATTTATTGCATTTTTTTGTGTGTGTTGTTTTTTAATCTGTTGGGGCTGCCCCTATTTACCCTAGCCCCCGCTGCGTACAGTCATGGTTCAGTGGCAAAGCAATGGCCTCGTAACTGTGGGGCCCAAGGATCAAAACCGTGTCGATGTGCTATAATTATTAGTGCTCTTTTGTGAGGCATTAATCCTCATTTATGTAAGTTATGACTTAAGGACGTATGTCCCCTAGTTGATAAGCATAGTAGCACACACTTTAGCAGTTGCGCAAAACAAACAGTCGCAAATTACTATTCAATAAAATCTAAGAATGTATACTATTATCTAGATCTATTAGGAATAAATCATCGTCAAAATAAATCCATACATTGGGGTAAACAAAATTATTCCACCATTATGACCAACAGTGTATGATAAACATAATTCTATCTTACCTCATTCTCTTTCTACCGTTAAAACATGAAGATTATCCAAATTCCACGTCACAAATCGATAGTCTGTACAGATTCAATTGAATTGAAACGAATTTAACTAAATTGAATTAAATTGAATTCAATGGTTAAGTATTATAAAAAAGACAACCTGCCAAATTTACATGAAATATATTCAAAGTGAAATTACTAATTATAAAAGAACTGCACTTAACGTTTACATCATGTATCATAATATTCTTACATTACTTAGAATAATTAGTCACGAAAAAACCTTCGCCTATCATTTGTTAGTGCATTGCTCTTCTCCACATCATAGCAAACTCATCTGTCATATCATTAATTAGTTCCCAGAGCAGTCAATATAATGGATTTTCAGACAGGGTGCAAAGTGAATACGAAATAATTTGTAATGGAATGCAGCAATATTTTCACCATGGTCCTGTGTCACTGTAAGGCTTGAAAAGAAATGTGATGCGATGTATTAGTCAAGTTCAATCTAACATAACTACAAAGAGTAAAATAATATCATCAAATGAAAACACAATCAGTATTACCGATAATTTGACAAGATGACCCATGAAGTTGATTTTTTTTTACAAATCAACTACAATTTATTTATTTAAAAACATAAAATACCGAGTAATATTTTCACAAACAAAATTAAAGTTAATACTTTGAGAATAACAACATGAGGCAAATAAAAAAATGTACTAAATATTTTTCAGTTATACATATCACTTCCTTCTATTTCTTGCGTCTCAAGTGATAGGTACCTCTTACATTCAACTTCATGACACAAGAACTGAAGAAAAAATTATCTTAGAAGAGGATTTTTTTTTCCTCCAACTTATCATATGATAAACATAATCCTATCTTACCCCATTCTCTTTCTATTGTTATTTAGATTGAGATGTTTCAAATCACATGTCACAAATCGATAGTCTGTATATAGATTTGTTTGAAATTAATCTCTCTTGTATCCTTTTTCCGCTCAGGTCGGATTTAATTGGAGCGGTAATTAAAAAGGGAAATACAAGTACCTAATACAGATAAAATATGCAAAGTAAAATTACAAACTAACTTTCACAAAGATATCATAATATTCTTCATGTACTTAAAATGCGTAATCAAGCAACACAACTTCCGACTGATAAAAACATTGTTCTTCTCAACAATATAGTAAACTAATTTTTCATATCATAAGTCCCAGAGCATTCAATTTACTAAATTTTCAGACAGGGTGCAAAGTGAATACGAGTGAATTTTTAATGGAATGTAGCAATATTTTCACCATGATCCTGTAAGGCTTCTTATTAGAATTTGATATGATGTATTAGTCAAGTTCAATGTAACGTACATACGTAGAGTAAAATGATATCACAAAATAAAATCAAAATGATAATAATAACTTGATAGGATGACCATGAAAACTGAAAAGCTTATTTACAATGGGTCATATTTACAAAGTCAGTATTAATTATTTCTTCATATCTTCTTCTTTCAAAGATAGACAATAATCAGAGTAAAAATCACAAAATATCAGTGAAAACAAAATAAACGTTAAAAAACATGAGAATAACGACTTGAGAAAAATAATACTCATAAGAAGTTATCAATATTTGTTATCAATTTTCAAGTTATACATACACATGTTTATTACCATATCACTTGCATCTATTTATTGCGTCTCAAGAGGTAGGTACCTCTTAAATTCAAATTTATTAGAATGCCTGCATTTGTTGTTATTCTTTGATTTTGCAGTACCGATCTTTTGTTAAAAAAATATATGCATAATTTACCTATTTGTTACATACTATTTCGATAGAGGGAATGTTCATCTTATTGGATAATGACAACTGTATACAGGTAATTAAAGTCTATGGAGAGAATGACCATCTTCCCATTCGGTTAACTAATTATCACACAATAAACATTAGAATATGGAGCAGAGAGGTATACACACTTCAAATAATGATAATATAGAATGTGAGATGGATTACAGTGATACTTTGATAAAATACAACTTATTGTGACAAGCAAAGGCGAGCATGTCTGGAGAGGGGGAAACCAAGTAACACCAACTATATCCAAGTGTCAGATTAAGTGCATTGAACTCAACTCTCTCCTTCAGGTTCAAACCATCAAGGTCATAGAGCCTGATCACCACGTTATCATTCCCAAGATCAACACTCGCCACATACACCCTGTCCTGCTCATCCACGGCAGCATACAAGTAGACATCGTTTGGAGCTTGTAGAGACTTACCAGCATTCCCATCCCTGTCATAGACCGTCACCACGCTTGGGTTGGTATAATAACATGAGCTCGTGACGATCAGACCCGACCTGGTAGCAGATACCTGGCCCGTCTTGTTGTGCTTTGTTGGAACAGTGTGTTTGAGAGTGGATCCAGTCGGGTCATAGATGTAGACTTTCTGCTCATTGCGAGCAATGAGGATGTCATCTGATGGACTTTTGTTTAGTCTGAGATAATAGGAATTGCTTTTCACGTGGATGGTTGATTTCCGGGATCCATTGGGTGAATATACGTGTGCTCCTGCGGTACCCGTCGATATACATAATGACCTGTCTTGCTGAAACACGAGATCATAACACTTCGCGCTACTTGATATGTTTGCATATTGGTGCTTTTTACCAGCTGAATCAATGATGTCTATTCCATGTGCATTCCAATATCCAATAGCTGCACTGTCATCAGAGTACTGGGTCATTCCATACATCATTCCTCGTAGGTCTACACACTGAATGACTTGCAACTTGGGATCTGTTCCTAAGATGCTCCCAAGATCAAGACGAGTGTCATCTGCAGGCTTGAACCTCTTCTCCTGTGCTTTCCTCGTAATTGCTGCCGCAGAAGTGTGATCAGTAACCTCCTTCAGCATGGCATCCAACTCCTCACAGAGCAAGGTATGAGCAGACAGACTGTCTGTCTCAAGACGACCCAGTCTGTCATTAGCTACCAGTGATATCGAACTACAAATACTCTTGATCCTCTGTCGATCCTTTGATTTCAAGTCGTTGAGGTCGTCCTCGAAACTCCGCTTTACTGCATTGATGTGCTCGATGAGATTTTGATGATTTTCTTCAAGCTCTTTGGCCTTGATGCTGTATGCTTGACTGACATCGTCCAGTAGTTTCTGCACGGCAGTGTATACATCATGGCGTTGTTCTTCTACATTCTGAATGTTCTCCTCCAGTTCTGATTTCTTAGCGGCACATCGCCGGACAAGGTCATTCACCTAAGCAAAACAGATAATTGGAAGTGAAAAGAACATTTTCTAGCGTGATATGTATGCTATAATTACATGGAGTTGATTTGAAAATTAAGCACAAATTTTGCGCGCGCCTGAAGTTTCACAAAAGTTAGAGCCACCCCCCCCCCCCTCCCCCTCCCCCATCAACATATATCATACGAGGACAAAGGAATTGAATACTTTTTGCTTTTGCTTTAAAAGGCCTTTCTTAAAGCGCGTATGTACTAGTGTGGACAGGAGGGATTAGACCACTCAGCGAGGATACCGACAGGTGGCTTTCTCATCAACTCAGCTCTCAATTAACATAAGAAAAAGAGGATCATGAGCGACCAACAGGCACCGATTATGCACTGTTTTCTATATAGAGAGAGCAAGTAGCTACAAGTAGTACAGTGGGCCTTTAAAAGCCCTTGTTATAAGTCCATTTGTATGAAAGCAGTAATATCAGATAAACAGAATGCAGGCCAAATAGTAACAGTATCAGGGGCGGCGATCCCGGGGAGACGGGGGGGACCCCCTTTAATTTGTGTAGGGGGGGGGGTCGTCCCCCGGAAAATTTGAAAAAGTACCCCTCAAAAATATATAGCAAATACTGACTAAAGACTATTGGGCTCTGGAGGGCACAAGAGTGCAGCGTTTAGACAAATAAAAATGCAAAAATCCTCTCGCTCGATAGCTATACATGTAAATATTTTAGAAAAATTGAGTGTCAGTGAAAAGTATATTGCTTGATTTATAGTTTTGCTAAGGACTGTAATTTTTTTAATACAACAAAACTTCAAAAACCTGTGAGGGGGTAGTCACTTCTGTCAACTATACCTACTCGAAGTCAGCCTAGGCCTGGTTCTTGATTTCGATGACCAACTGAGACATACGTGGACTTTACAATCCTTGTCGGGGGGATTTTATTTTAACCACACCCGTTGATAGATGGGAAAATGTGCTCCCTGGGTTGCAGTGCCTATAATATTGTAGACAGGGTTTACATTTATACAGTAAACACCGGGTCTCTTATTATTCGAGGGAGTTTATGTAGCGTCCGCCTTGAGAAAGTGTTGGTTTTAGGATCCTGAAAATTACTTTTCGGTGCACTTGAAAGCTCATTTTGATGCAAAGGAATTTAATGTTATTTTTATTTTTTTATTTTTCCTTGCGAGTGGAAGGGGGGGGGGGCAGAGGACTAGCTGAAATCAATTTTGTCCCTGACGAGAATAATGCGGGGACATCAACCCCCCCCCTCCCCCTCCTTTCCGGCGCCTATATGGTACCTTCTCCTATCAGAATTATATGAGTCTATAAACTTGACAGGCCTTAGCCAAACGCAATTATATTTTAAATGACCCCACTTACTTTAAGACGTAACTTCTGCTCGAAGTCAGCCTGATTCTCGATGTGGTGATTTTGATGACCGACGATCACGCACTTGAAACAGACATGGACCTTACAATCCTCACAAAACATCTCTTTGTTCTCTTGTTTGTGGATGCAGCACTTTTCCGATAGATGGCCAATGCTGACCTTCCCGTTGATGATGTCCTCTATGGATACAATCTCGTGTCCTTCAAAGACTTTAAGATTTTGATGACACTCTAGACACTTATCACAAATGTAGTTATTACATGTACAGCAGAATGAGACGGCATCTTTCTGAAGCTTGCAAGCAGTGCATTTTGAACGCATCTCAAGGACAGCGTTAACCCCTCCAAACATGACGTGGTAATTGTCTACAAGTCCGTTGACCGTCACATTGGTGAGGAAATCATCAACACGGTTCGCAGATAACTTTGTGGTCTCCCTGCAGAGAGGACAGATCATGTGATTAAGATTCTGATGGGACAGGTCATAGTTCCTGAGACATTTCCGACAGAAGGTGTGTCCACATGAAGTCAGGATGGTTGCCTCGTCGAAGATACTAAGACACAGTGGACACGTCAGGTCCTGTGAAAAGCTTGGAACTTTTTCTTTCTCAGTCTTCTCAGCCATTTGTACAAATATCGGATTTCTGGCTAATTACAAACGCAAGTGCATTCTACGCCTATATCCAATTGATGTCCAATATAACTTAGAAGTGTGATCAGCTAATGTGTACTTAAAGCCAACAGTCGTTCATGCAAGCACAAACTATGTGCAGTGATGTAGTAGATTGTACCAACACCCTGAGTCTACGTAACGAGACAGTGCGTCCTAACTGCATGCAGTTCTATACCAAGTTCACGTTGATTACAAATATGTGTCAAAAGAGGAGTAACGTTGATCAAAAGTACTGAGTCTCGATTCAAGTGTATACATCAATACACATGTGTTTGCAATGCTATACGCTCACACTGTAAGTAGATCGTCTGCGAAAAAAATGCAGTTTGTGCATCCTTTTGAATAGAAGTGGGTTTTCCCACAGGGAGCGCGCCCAGCGTATGCACCTTTGAACTTTAATGGCGGTATTCATCATTTTGATCTACAGAGGGCGACTCGTTAGTTTTTAGTAGTGGATACATTGTGTTGGAGATCCACTTTATTAGAATCTTAGGTTTATTTGCTGTTATCACTTTGTTTGGAAGGGTAAAGGACGGCAATCACACTAACATTTCACCCCTTCTTTATCCACCATTCTTCCTTTATCTCCTTCCATCAGTCTCTCATTCTCTTCTCTTTCACTGTCAAAATTTCTCTTAACGTATGGAAACCTACTTGGCGACACTTACTACAATGCGAAATTCGCCTGAAAAATATTTCTCCGCTTCCTCTCGTAAGCAATGTATACAAAATCGTATAGATTAGGCTTCTAACAATGATAATGTGAATCATGTCTGTCTCAAAGAGCTGATATCAAGAAAAGTGATATCAAATAGAATATGCAGGCCATACTGCACTGAAATATTATTCATTTAAAATTATAATATATTAAGTAAATCACAATAGTTTTGTTTGTGATACTGCATTTCGGGAGAAACTGTTGGAAAATATTTATTTTCATTGTAAAGTGAATGGGTTGTTTTGGACCAGCAAAGTAGCCAAAGTAAGTCTGAAACATTGATGGAATCGTATATCTGTGTGCAGTGGTTTTCACCGTTTGTGATTTGCATGAAGATTGATATCAGTGTGTTATCATTTTAATGATTCTGAAATCCCACATTAAGCCTATACACAATTTAGCCTCAACAATTACTCCTATAAACTGCACAATTAGCATTTCCCAATATTTAGTCAGTTTTTAATCGTTTGTGGACAATGACCAGCACTCATCTGTATATGTAGTCATATCAAACGTTTAATCGCTCTGCTTAGATTATTTCCGAGTATACAACAAGATTAATATAATCTTCTGTAATTTCTGTAGACTAGTGACAATCAGTAGAGCAGTATGTCTCATGAATTTGTGTGACACATGGGGTGTGCACGTACATGCCCTCTAATCGAATGGCATGAAAAAAGGTAAGAGCGAGGGGAAAGATGCAGGAAAATATTTTTAAAATACCATGAGATAATAAATATTAGGAGTTGCCTTTAGCTCGAAAATGTTCTACGAATATTATACTATTATTTTAACACAACTCTTACAACAGATTATTATTCAGAGAAAATTATATATTTAGTGTTAGTGACGTAAGCAGCGAACGTTTCTACAATCTGATATCTTTTAAACAGACTCTCATGCACCAACAAGTGCTGTCTGGGAGTGGGTATATTGAAAAAAACATTGATAAGTCTTCCGTGTTCAAAAAGCATTTGATTTATCCAAGGAAACACCGTTTAAGATAGTTCAATTATAAATTGCTGTACTATATACTACCTGTTTGAAACAATCTTTAAAAATTGGGAATAGCAGAAAACAGATACTGCCCCTTAGTTCCACGTTATAGAGGACATTGTCCATGTGTTTATTGAATGTGAACTGAACAAACTTTTCTTGATTATGTCAAACAGTTTGTGATGTTTGTTTTTAATATTGATATTTGCATGGATATCTTTGTTTGCCTATGATTACCAATGACAGAGAGGTTGACGTTGTAATGACTATCGCATTCCGGTGTATGTACAAGATGTTAGTCTTCTGGAATAAGTACATGTATGATTTTAATGATAAGCGTTTCAAAGTAAGGTACGTATTTGAAAGAGAAAACACACAGACTACTCGTAAATCAGGAGCTAAAAATCCTGACAAGAGGTTCCCATAGAAATGGTTAAAAACACCTCAAATGGTAAGTAGTGAAATATTGTACAGGCGAGAAACGATGTGTTTTGTATTGTTAACATAGTACTACAATTCCATTGCTTCTCATAACTTTATTTTGATACTTGAATTGAAATTATACATCTCAACTGAGGCACACACACACAATCATTCTCTTTCTAAGCGTGTACTTAAAAACCAATGTGGTTACAATGGTAGAATCACACTTGAGCAGATTGACTGTCAATATCATGCAGTTTGTGCATCCTATGAATAGAAGAGGGTTTTCCAACAGAGCGTATAAGTATGCACCTTTGAACTTATTGACGGTAATCATTTGTCTTTAAATCTATAGGCGACATATTTAGGCTTTAAGTGATGGATACATTATGTTGGAGATCCACTTTAGTAGAATCCTGGACAATAGTGCAAGACGTTTCATGTGCTTCCATTGCTATAATTGGAAGAGTAAAGGACGGTAACTACACTTATTTTCACCGCTTCTTTCTCCACTATTTTCCTGTTTTCAGTTCTATTTTTTTCTTTCTCTTCTTCTTTCTCTGTCAACAATTAAAGGACTCTTCCAGTGTCAATCAACAAACCGTGTGCATACAACAAAATAATGTACATGTAATTATAGGCTAGATTTGTAGGGTATACATTTATTTTATTATTATATTCTAATTTTCTTTTAAAGAAACAAAAGATGAAAATACAAGATACGAATTTTGAGACACATGATAAGGTTAAGGTACTCTACTAAACTATCTCCAAATTAGTAAAAAGACCATGTGTTTGTATCGAAATAGTCGCGCCATTTTACCCATAAGAATCGACTTTCTTTCTTCACCAAAATTAGAAAGTAAATTAATTTTCCATCTTGATGCTAATATCAGAACCTCCTCTCCTTTTACTTTGAAGAACGATAGAAAGAAGAATGTTGTCCCCAAGGTAGGTCGTTTATGTACACAAGCAATATCTTCGATGTAATATTTGTTTACAAACATATCAACTGGTATGTTATTTTTTAACGATGGGGAAACATTACAATTGATTTTTTTTTCTTCTCCAGATTCATCCCTAGGTTTTCCATTCATGTCTACTAGCATGACCAGAGGAAGATTTAATATCCTCATCATTTCTACAATTTATCATATGATAAACATAATCCCATCTTACCCAATTCTCTTTCTACCGTTACAAAATGCAAATGAAGATATTTCAAATTCCACGTCACAAATCGATAGTCTGTACAGATTAAATTGAATTGAAACGAATTTAACTAGATTGAATTAAATTGAATTGAAGGGTTAAATATTATGAAATAGACAACCTGCCGAATTTAGATAAAACATATTCAAAGTAAATTTACTAATTATAACAGTACTGCGCTAAACGTTTACATTATGTATCATAATATTCTTACATTAGTTAGAATGCTTTATAGTCAACAAACAAGATTTCCGGCTGTTAAACGAGGCCTAATTTTTGTTAATACATTATTCTTCTCTACATCATAGCAAACTAATCTGTCATATTATCAGTCCCATAGAGCATTAACTCGAGTTGCTTTCAGACAGGGTGCAAAGTGAATACGAAGGATTTTTGTTCATGGAATGTAGCACCATGGTCCAGTAAGGTTTCTTTTTTAATTGACTTGATGTTTTAGTCAAGTAACATAGATACGAAGAGTAAAATGATATTATAAAATGAAAACAAAATAATACTACCAATAAAGTTGACAGGATGACCTGTGAAAGCTGAAAAGCTAATTTACAATGGGTCCCATTTACAAATCCAGCATTAATTGTTTCTCAATTTAAAGATACAAAATAATCACAAAATAAATCACAAAATATAATATATCATAATATTCTTACATTACTGAGAATGCTTAGTCAAGAAACAGGATCCCTGACTGTTAAACGAGGCCTAATTTTTGTTAAAACATTCTTCTACTCTACATCATAGCAAACTAATCTGTCATATTATCAGTTCCCAGAGCATTCAATTTAATTGCTTTTCAGACAGGGTGGAAAATGAATACGAAGGATTCTTTCATGGAGTGCAGCACCATACTCAAGTAAGGTTTTTTAAAATAATTGATTTGATGTATTACTCAACGTCAATGTTACATACATTCGAAAAGAAACTGATATTATAAGACGAAAGCAAATCGATACTACCAATAATTTGACGGGATGACCTGTGAAAGCTGAAAATCTTATTTACAATGGGGTCCCATTTACAAAGTCAGCATCAATTATTTCTTAATTTAAAGATACAAGATAATCACAATATAAATTAGAAAAAATATAAACCAAAACAAAATAAACTGTTCAATACTTTGATAATAATAACATAAGGAAAATAACACTAACACGAAGTTAATCAAAAAAATTATCAATTTTTAAGTCATACATTATGATATCATATCACTGACTTTCAGTGAAAATCTATGAGATAGGAGTATGTGTATATTTTACGTACTGCATTTATATATTATTTCGAGAGAAGGAAGATATCATGATATACATGTAGGATAATGACAATTAAAATCTATCTAGATTATAGCCATCTTCTCATTCGGTTATTTATCACATCATTATAAACATAGAATATGAAACATAGGCCCATTATAGAGTAGGTCTGGAGCAGAGAGGTATACACTGTACACATCAGGGTGAACAATGAGAGTGTGAGGTACAGATGATCACAGGGATACTTTGATAAAATACAACTTCTTTGCACTAGCAAACGCGAGCAAGTCTGGTGAGAGTGAAACCAAGTAACACCAATCACGACCAAGCGTCAGATTAAGTACGTTGAACTGAACTTTCTCCTTCAGGTTCAGATCATCAAGGTCATAGAGCTTGATTACCACGTTACCCTTCTTACGATCAACACCCGCTACATACACCTTGTCCTGCTCATCCAGGGCAGTATACAGGTAGACATCGTTTGGAGCTTGTAGAGACTTACCCGCATTCCCATCCCTGTCATAGACCGTCACCACGCTTGGATTGGAGTGATTACATGAACTCGTGACGATCAAACCCGACCTGGTGGCAGATACCTCCCTTGTCTCCTTGCGTTTTGTTGGAACAGTGTGTTTGAGAGTGGATCCAGTCGGATTATAGATGTAAGCTTTCTTCTCATTGTTAGCGATGAGGATTTCATCTGATGGACTTCTGTTTATTTTGAGTAAAGGGCCATTGCTAGGCAAGCGGATGGTTGAATTCCTGGAGCCATTGGGCGCATATACGCGTGCTTCTGTGAAACCCGTCAACATACATAACGACCTGTCTTGTTGAAACACAAGATCAAAACAGTATATGTTTCTAGGCATGTTTGCATACTGCTCCTGTTTGCCAGCTGAATCAATGATATCTATACCAAGTCCATCATGGCATCCGATAGCCACACTATCATCAGAGTACTGGGTCATTCCATGTATCATTCCTAGTAGATCTACACACTGAATGACTTGCAACTTGGGATCTGTTCCTAAGATGCTCCCGAGGTCAAGGAGACTATCATCGGCAGGATTGAACTTCTTCTCATGAGCTTTCTTTGTAATTGCTGCCGCAGAAGTGTGATCAGTAACCTCCTTCAGCATGGCATCCAGCTCCTCACAGAGCAAGGTATGAGCAGACAGACTGTCTGTCTCAAGACGACCCAGTCTGTCATTAGCTACCAATGTTATTGAACTACAAATACTCTTGATTTTCTGTCGATCCTTGGATTTCAAGACGGTGATGTCGTCCTCGAAACCCCGCTTTACTGCATTGATTTGCTCGATTAGACTTTGATGATTTTCTTCAAGCTCTTTAGCCTTGATGCTGTAGGCTTGACTGACATCGTCCAGTAGTTTCTGCACGGCAGTGTATACTTCACGGCGTTGTACTTCCACATTCTGAATGTTCTTCTCCAGTTCTGATTTCTTAGTGGCACATCGCTGAACAAGGTTGTTCACCTAAACAAAACAAATAATAGAGAAAGAGCATTCTCTAGAATGAAATATAGGGCCTGATAAAATTACATGGAGCTGGTTCGAAAATCAAACAACAAATTTCGGCGCTAGATGTTCCACAAAAATTAGAACCAAGACCCCCCCCCCCCCCCCCACCCCTACATCATCGTTTACCATATATGAGGACCGAAAATGTAATACATTGTTTGTTTAGCTTTCTTAAAAGGGAATCCACCCCTTGCAATAAGTTCATTTGTATGAAAGCAGTTATATCAGATAAATAGAATAGATACACATTTAGGCCAAATATTAACAGTATAATGATGATAATAATAACGACAATAATAATGATGGTGATGATAATTTTCATGTATACATTATGACTATTATTATCACCATCATTAAATTGCCAACAACAAAATAACAGTTTGCTATAGGCCCATTTGCACAAATACATGTACACACAAATTAAGAATGACTTCTGGATTTTGTTTTTCCATTGCGAAAATGGAGTAGGTACGAAGCTATCTGGATACTCTGGGCATGTGTCCCTTTCACCCATTGAATGGGAGACTGTAAATATAGGGAAAGTAACGAAGAGACAGAGAGATTGAAAGAAACAGAAAAACAGGGCGAAAAGAAAGAAGTGGGGATGATACCAGGTACCCCTTCGTACCTTCAAGAGTTTCAACTGTATGGGGGCAGGGGGGGGGGGGCACCTCGAGGTTTTTTCGATAATTTTTAGTTATGAAATGTAGCTACATTTACTAACGCCTTTATACACCCCCCCCCCCTCCTCTGCAACAAACACCTTTTCTTCTTTCTTGATATTTACAAAGAATAATGTATTTAAGTTTCAACAACAACTACAAAAGAAAAATACATTGTATTCCTCTTTGGGGGGGGGGTAGTATTGGAATGTAAATCTCTAGTCTTAAGCATATGTTTCAAAGCACAGAAGCAGATTTAAAATATACAAAGTTATTATTTCCATAAGACATAAAATAACTAATATTAGTTTCTATAATACTAAGGTTCATATATAACTCGATAGAAACTTTGTTATTTAGCTAGTGAGTGTGGCGACCCAGGGGAAAAATGTTCATGTGAAATTGAAAAGGGTAATCAAGTATAGTTTGAAACACATCGGAAAAGCCCAGCCTACTTCAAAAAAAAAAAAATGATTTGCATATCAGTGATAAAAAAACGAGCAACAGAAAGAGCTTCATGTTTTCTCAGAGGGGTGTCAACATTGCGGTCTTACCCCCTGTACTAGAGAGAAGCTTTGAACTTCGCACCGTATCCGTTTTAAGCGCATATGTAGTAGACAGGGTGCAATGATAAGAAACCTTCCGACTATTAAATCGTGACGAAGTCTAAAGACCAAAAGGAAAAAGAAAGCGTTTTGGAAATTTAAAACCGTATTTCAGATGACTTAAAAGCTTTTCTAGTCTACAATATCATCAATAATCACGGTAGAGGTTTACGGTACACCATGTGTAAAGTCCTAGAAGGACTAAGGAAAGTGGATAGAAAAATAGAAGTGAAAATAGAAAGGCGAGAAAGTGGAGGTTGGAAGGAAGAGTATCTTTCAGAAGTGAGTATAGTCCTGAAAAGGACTGTAAACCAGAAAGTTGTAGATAGGATGAGAGGTTTGAGTAGAAGACTGGATTGAGTTGGAGAGTTGAGTAGAGTTGCAGAGCAGGAGCAGGAGAGTAGACTCGACGTTTCGGACAGGTTGACTGTCCGTCTTCACTCCTGAAGACGGACAGTCAACCTGTCCGAAACGTCGAGTCTACTCTCCTGCTCCTGCTCTGCAACTCTACTCAACTCTCCAACTCAATCCAGTCTTCTACTCAAACCTCTCATCCTATCTACAACTTTCTGGTTTACAGTCCTTTTCAGGACTATACTCACTTCTGAAAGATACTCTTCCTTCCAACCTCCACTTTCTCGCCTTTCGATTTTTAATTCTATTTTTCTATCCACTTTCCTTAGTCCTTCTAGGACTTTACACATGGTGTACCATAAACCTCTACCGTGATTATTCATACCACCATGCAAACCTTCAAACATCATCTAATATCATCAATATAATACAATAATTGTTGTGCTAATATCTAGCGAGCCGGGCGGGGCCTTTGCCTTCTCCCCATCGATCTGTTTTCCGTGTAATTCAGAAAATGTGCGATGCATGGAGCGTAGCCACCAAACAAAAAAGAACCTATTCTGCTTTGCAAATTTATTGACGTTAACATTTTTGTCTGGCAAAGGAGGCAGGAAGAAAAAGAAGAAACAAATTTGTAAAGATATTTGGCCTTGTGAGAGGTAGGGACAGAAACGATTTGGCTCCACCCCCGATAGAGGGAATAATATATCTCTTACTTGTGTTGCCTCTTGGAGACAGGCTTTCTACAGTATAAACATAGGATTGCAATTTTTCTATATTTTTTAGAGCAGAGAAGCGACCATTAACTGAGTAAATTTAGGTTTTGGAATGGTTACGTTCTGCATTGTAGAGGACCAATCTGCTGACAGGGCTTTGATACTCAAGTGGGGATCTCATGTCGCCCCAAACCTTTGATTGATAGAAGTGTTTGTTCCCATGTGTATGGTGCCTTTATTGTAGAAGGGGCTTACTAACATAATAAACACCGGATTTATTAATATTCGAGGGAGCGTAATGACACTCATTACTTTATTTTTCAGAGTTCTTGTTATCTTATTATAATGCAAAGGAATGACTAATTTTCCTTCTTTCCCTTGCCAGGCCACTCCCCCCCCCCCTCCCCCGACTCGAATTATTGCATCAGCCCCCTCTGCCCCAACCCCTCCCCGCTAACGGCGCCTACGCGATACATTAACTTAAATTAAACCACGTTTACCTTAATCCGTAACTCCTGCTCGAAGTCAGCCTGATTCTTGATTTTGTGATTTTGATGACCGACGATCACGCACTTGAAACAGACGTGGACCTTACAATCCTCACAAAACATATCTTTGTTCTCCTGTTTGTGGATGCAGCACTTCTCGGAAAGATGACCAATGCTGACCTTCCCGCTGATGATATCTTGTATGGATACAATCTCGTGAGCCTCAAACGTTAAAGACATATTCTGATGACCCGTCAGACACTGCTCACACAAATAACCGTTGCAGGTTGTGCAGAATGACACAGCCACTTCTTGACGTTTGCAAGCATTGCATTTTGGACGCATCTCAAGGACAGCATTCCTCCCTCCACATTCGACGTGGTAATCTTCTACGAGTCCGTTGACAGTCACATTGGTGAGGAAATCATCGACACGGTTCGCCGACAACTTGGTGACCTCTCTGCAGAGAGGACAGATCATGTGATCGAGATCTTGATGGGATAGGTCATAGTTCTTGAGACACTTCCGACAGAAGGTGTGTCCACATGAAGTCAGGATGGTTGCCTCGTCGAAAATATCAAGACATAGTGGACACGTCAGGTTCTCTGAAGAGCTTGTAGGTTTCTCTTTCTCAGTCTTCTCAGCCATTGGTACAAATATCGGATTTGGGGCTTATTACAAAAATGAGCTCATTCTACGAATATATCCAATGTCCAATGAAGCTTATTTGTGATCAGATAATATGTACTTAAATTCAGCAGTCAGCAAATGAAAGCACAAACTATGCAGTGATCTGAGTCTACTAACAAGTGCGTCCTATAACTGCATGCAGTTCTATTCCTATTTCTAACGTTGATTACAAATATGTGTCGAAAGAGGTGCGAAAAACTTTGATCAAAAGTACTGAGTCTCTATCCAAGTGTATACATCAATACAAATGTGATTGCAATGATGTACGCTCACACTTATTATGAAGTAGATCGTCTGTGAAAATAATGCAGCTTGTGCGTACTTTGAATAGAAGTGGGTATTCCCACAGAGAGCGCGCCCAGCGTATGCACCTTTGAACCTTTAATGGCGGTATTCATCATTTTGATCTATAGAGGGCGACTTGTCTAGTTTTTAGTAGTGGATACATTGTGATGGAGATCCACTTTATTAGAATTCTAGGTTTCATTTATTGTTATCACTTTGTTTGGAAGGGTAAAGGACGGCAGTCTCTCATTCTCTTCTCATTCACTGTCAAAATTGCTCTTAACGTATGGAAACCTACTTGGCGACACTTATTACAATGCGAAATTCGCCTGCAAAAACTATTTCTCCACTTCCTCTCGTAAACATTGTTTACAAAATATTATAAATGAGGCTCATTACAATGATAATGTGAATCATGTCTGTCTCAAAGAGCTGATATCAAGAAAAGTGATATCAAATAGAATATGCAGTCCATACTGCACGGAAATATGATTCATTTAAAATTATAATATATTAAGTAAATCGCAATAGTTTTGTTTGTGATACTGCATTTCGGGAAAAACTGTTGGAAAATATTTATTTTCATTGTAAAGTGAATGGGTTGTTTTGGACCAGCTAAGTAGCCAAAGTAAGTCTGAAACATTGATGGAACCGTATATCTGTGTGCAGTGGTTTTCACCGTTTGAGATTTGCATGAAGATTGATATCAGTGTGTTATCATTTTAATGATTCCGAAATCTCACAATGAGCCTACACAATTTAGCCTTAACAATTACTCCTATAAACTGCACAATCAGCATTTCCCAATAACTATATAGTCAGTTTTCAATCGTTTCTGCACAATGACCAGCACTCATCTGTATATGTAGTAATATCAAACGTTTAATCGCTCTGCTTAGATTATCTCCGAGTATACAACAAGATTAATATAATCTTCTGTAATTTCTGTAGACTAGTGACAATCAATAGAGCAGTATGTCTCATGAATTTGTGTGACACATGGGGTGTGCACGTACATGCCCTCTAATCGAATGGCATGAAAAAAGGTAGGAGCGAGGGGAAAGGTGCAGGAAAATATTTTTAAAATACCATGAGATAATAAATATTAGGAGTTGCCTTTAGCTCGAAAATGTTCTACGAATATTATACTATTATTTTAACACAACTCTTACAACAGATTATTATTCAGAGAAAATTATATATTTAGTGTTAGTGACGTAAGCAGCGAACGTTTCTACAATCTGATATCTTTTAAACAGACTCTCCACCAACAAGTGCTGTCTGGGGGTGGGTATATTGAAGAAAAAAACACATTAATAAGTCTTCCGTGTTCAAAAAGCATTTGATTTATACAAGGGAATATCGTTTAAGAGAGTTCAATTGAAAATTGCTATACAATATATTATCTGTTTGAAACAATACTTAAAAATTGGGAATAGCAGACGACAGATACCGCCCCAAGTACCACGTTATAGAGGACCTTGTCCATGTGTTTATTGAATGTGAACTGAACAAACTTTCCTTGATTATGTCAAACAGGTTGTGATGTTTGTTTTTAATATTGATATTTGCATAGATATATTTTGTTTGCCTATGATTACCAATGACAGAGAGGTAGACGTTGTAAAAACTATCGCATTCCGGTGTATGTACAAAATATTAGTCTTCTGGAATAAGTACATGTATGATTTTAATGATAAGCGTTTCAAAGTAAGGTACGTATTTGAAAGAGAAAAAATACACAGACTACTCGTAAATCAGGAGCTAAAAATCCTGACAAGAGGCTACCATAGAAATGGTTAAAAACATGGTAAGTAGTGAAATATTGTACAGGCGAGAAAATATGTGTCTTGTATTGATAACATAGTACTTCAATTATATTTGTTCTCAAAACTTTATTTTGATTCTTGAATGAAAATTAGACATATCGACTGAGGCACACACACGGGACACACACACACACACCACACACACACAAGCATTCTCTTTTCAATGGTATAATCACACTTGCGTAGATCGTTTGTCAATATCATGCAGTTTGTACATCCTATGAATAGAAATGGGTTTTCCCACAGAGCGATTAAACATGCACCTTTGAACTAGTTGGCGGTATTCATTTGTCTTTAAATCTAGAGGGCGACTTATTTAGGCTTTAAGTGATGGATATATTATGTTGGAGATCCACTGTAGTAGAATCCATGTGTTTTCATTACTATAATTATTTGGAAGAGTAAAGGACGATAACTACAATGGTTTTTCATCCCCTCTATTATTCCATTATTTCCTTCTATTGCTCTCATTCTCTTCCTCTTTCCCTTTTAACAATCAAAGGACTCTTCCAGTGTCAATCAACAATACCGTGTGCATACAACAAAATAATGTACATGTAATTATAGGCTAGATTTATAGTGTATACATTTATTTTATTATTATATTCTAATTTTCTTTTAAAGAAACAAAGAAAAAAATAACAAAATACGAACTTTTAGACATGTGCTTTACAAAAACTGTATAGAGACCATGTAACTATGTCTATCAAAATAGTCGCACCATTTTACCCATAAGAATTTACTTTCTTTCTTCACCAAAAACATACAGTAATTGCATTTTTCATCGAGAGAACCTCCCCCTAAAAAAAAGAAAAAAAGAACATACGCAACTTCTTCGATGTTATCTTCTTACAAACATATCAACTGGGATGTCATTTCTTTAACGATGGGGGAAACGTGCAATTGATGTTTTTTATACATTCATCCCTGTGTTTGCCATTTATGTCTACTATAGCATGACCAGAGATAATAGGTTGACTATCCTCATCATTTCTAGAATTTATCATATGATAAACATATTCCTATATTACCCCATTCTCTTTCTACCGTTATACAATGCAGATGAAGATATTCCAAATTCCACGTCACAAATTGATAGTCTGTATAGATTCAATTTAATTGAATCGAATTTATTAAACCTGAATTAATTTGATTGAAGCGCTAATTATAATGAAAGTTACAACTGCAGAAGTAAAATTACCAATTATAAGAGAATTTCAATATTAAACCTTTTAAAGGGGAAGTCCACCCTGAAATTAAGTTAGTTTTAATAGGAGTAGAAAAATGAGAGAAACAAGTCAGTGAAAGTTTGAGCAAATTCCGATTAAAAATAAGGAAGTTAGGATTTTTTAAGTTGTGATCAATCAAACACAAATTGGCAACTCTATGACGTATCATGCGAGCTCAACTTCCATTTGCTCAGTACTAAAAAAATCTAAAATTTTCATTTTCCCTCAAGAAAAATTTCAACCATACATGCACCCTAAATATAATAATTGCAAATATGTTTCTATACTCCCCCTGCAAGGAACAAATATATATTCCGTCATCAATAACGAAAAAAACATGATTTTATGGAATATTATGCACAAAGCAAATGAAGGAGAGCTCGTATAATAAGTCACAGAGTTGCCAATTTGTATTTGATTGATCACAACTTCAATAATTCATAACTTTCTTATTTTCATTCAGAATTTGCTCAAACTTTCACTCACCTGATTTTCTTATTATTCTGCCTCTATCGAAACAAACTTATTTTTGGGGTGGACTTTCCCTTTAAAGTTATCATAATATTCTTCATTTACTTAAAATGCTTATTCAAGCAACACAACTTCCGACTGTTAAGCGAAGCCTAATTTTTGTTAAAAAACATTGTTCTTCCCAACAATGTAGTTAACTAATTTTTCGTATCATCAGTTCCCAGAGCATTCAATTTACTGAATTTTCAGACAGAGTGCAAAGTGAATACGAAGGAATTTTCAAAGAAATGTAGCAATATTTTCACCATGGTCCTATAAGACTTCTTATCAGAATTTGATATGATGTATTAGTCAAGTTCAATGTAGCATACATACGTAGAGTAAAATTATATCACAAAATAAAAACAAAATATAATAATAACTTGACAGGATGACCATGAAAACTGAAAAGCTTATTTACAAAGGGTCCTATTTACAAAATCAGTATTAATTATTTCTTCATATCTTCTTCTGTCAAAGATACACAAAAATCACAGTAAAAATCACAAAATATAAGTATAAACGTTAAAATACATTGAGAATAATGACAAGAGAAATAACACTTATAAGAAGTTAATCAACATGTTATCCATTTTTAAGTTATGCACACAGTACTTGCATCTATTTATAGCCTCTCAAGTGGTAGGTACCTCTCAAATTCAAATTAATAGTATGTCTGTATTTGTTGTTATTCTTTAATTTTGCACTACCGATCATTTGTTTAAATATTGAAGAGAAAACAAGTACACAACGCAAAAAGCATATGCATATTTCACTTATTTATTACATACTATTTTGATAGAGGGAAGTTTTCATGTTATTGGAGAATGGATAATGACAACTGACTGTATACAGGTAATTAAAATCTATTGAGAGAATGAACATCTTCTCATTCGGTTATACTTATTACATAATACAAACTAGAATATAAAACATTGGCCCCTTTTATAGATCTGGAGCAGAGAGGTATACACACTACAAATCGTCGCTGTTTTCACGAAGTGACGGTAGTGAAAAAAAATTGCATTTACTTTGCGTTACGATTTTCCTCACTACCGTCACTTCGTGAAAACAAGGACGAAATAATGGTATTATATAGGATGTGAGATGGATTACAGTGATACTTTGATAAAATACAACTTGAACTTACAAGCAAAGGCGAGCATGTCTGGTGAGAGGGAAACCAAGTAACACCAATCAGCACCAACCGTCAGATTAAGTGCATTGAACTCAACTCTTTCCTTCAGGTTCAAACCATCAAGATCGTAGAGCCTGATCACCACGTTACCCTTCTTACGATCAACACTCGCTACATACACCCTGTCCTGCTCATCCAGGGCAGCATACAGGTAGACATCGTTTGGAGCTTGTAGAGATTTATCAGCATTCCCATCCCTGTCATAGACCGTCACCACGCTTGCATTGGTTTTACAAGAACTAGTGACGATCGAACCC